CGGTAAAACTTCCATCGATGTATCGTCAATTTCGCGATGTTAGTAAATTGTAAACATCGATAGCAAACATCGAAAATTTAACCGATATTATCGATGTTTCAAAAACACCTTAGGGCCGGTTGTTCAATGTCTGATTTGCACAAATCGGAAGTAGAACCTCCGGTTAAGCTAGTCCGAGTATTTTTGCTGGTAAATTCTGGTAAATGTGTCAAACGATCAGCTGTAGTGTGTTTGGCAACCAAATTGTAAACAAAAGAAAAGTGCACACTGCTAATTCATGTTGAAAAGTATTTAATTACTTGTTTAAGTGGATTCTAATGAATTTGAAAGTATTTTTGGTTATTTGCATGTGTGAGCTGAGTGTGTTTACATACAAAATAAACAAAAATTTACAACCAAAATTTGGAGGTTATGTTGAAGTTGACAGAAGTTACCATTTTTTACTAGAAAGCGATCCCGTACTTTTCAATGTTACTTTCTCGCTCTGAGCGAATTTTTATTTTTTGACAGATTTACTAGTCCGAGTCCGAGGAATACGGGATTCCACCTATTGAATCATGCTTCGCAACTACGTCATTGGAGGAAAACAAATTTTTGACAGCACCATGTCGTAACCTTCTATTCTATGATCCGGTAATTAGAGAATAACAGGTCTATTCTGCACGTTACCGAAGATTTGTAACTGGAAAATTTTATTACCAAAAATGTAGATCAACAGGTCATTCATTATTCCTTAAAAGCACCAAGTAAATGCAGGTAACATGTAAACACAAAACACTTTATCCATTTTTGCCCGGAGAAAATGTCCGGGCTATTCCGGACACGAGAAAGAAGAAATTTACGATCCAATTGTGGAATGCATGCACTCTCTAATGCCCATTTTCTGGAGTATGGGAACGATTTCCGGGCTATTTCGGTGGTTTTTTGCGTTCCCGTTTTTAAGATTATGTTCCATTTTCGAGAGCAAACTTTTCGCTTATTCTTTCATTACCGGATCCGGTACGGATTCACGCGGGACGGAGAGTAGCCCGTTAAAATCGCATTTAGGAAAAAAATTTAACGATTTTGACATTAGCCGTTTGTTTACATTTCTCCGTTGTTTACAATTGGTGGCTCTTTACTGCAATTTTCTTCATTTTCGCCTGTGACAACGTGCGTATACATAAGATAAAGAATAATTTAACACAACGGCATGATTTATAGAAGAATTTGCATAATAAAAATGATTATTCATGCGTTCAACAATTTCGCGGTTTTCTCCGTTCTCTTCGTTGTTTACTTCTTACAACAAAGATGGCGTCGAGATTTCGGCAGCTAGAAAATAACTTTTTTCTTTCTTTCCTTCTCGCGTGATCTTGTGTCTTTCGTTCGTGGAACAAACCTACTATAAACTCATTCCACAAGATCCACACACGTGCACGTCAAATTTCCCATATGTCGAAAATCCAAAACAAATGTTTTGCATGGCAGATTTAGCAAATATCGCCACAATTATTTTGGATATTTTTAACAATTCGCTTGCAAAAGTTTAAAAATGAGTGACAGTGAAAACGAAAGTATTCTAGATCTGCTCGAATGTGCTGAAGAGTATGACAAATTGATGCAGGAAAAACTGATATCGAATAGCAAAGCGGACGAAGCGACAATGCCTGCAAATTATGATAAAAACAATAAACACACCGCCAGCCACAATGATACTCTGGAGATACCTATGGAAAAAGTAATTTTTGGTGATAGGAAGGAGTTGTTGAAAAATTTTGCTGTTGCCGTAGGTGAATCAAATAATGGCAAACAAAACAAGGAGGAGAGTGATGGCGAAAGCGACGATGGCATTGAGAGTAGAAAACGCAAGCCCGCCTGGACCGACGCAGATGACACAGATATTACATTGGGGGAGGTGAAAAGACGAACCCGTTTCTCAGGACCACTAGATCATTTGCGGAAAGACAAAGCTTATAAAGACTACCTCACAGCGCGTTACGTACGCACAGTGCCCCAACCCAAATGGGCATCGTTGGAGCACAAAAAAGAATTTGATAATTCAGACGATGAGGCGCTTTTGCAGACAGTGGGTTTTGTGGAGAAGCCAGACACAACAAGTTTACTGCAAACGCATCTACAATTCAAGAGATTGAAAGATTTAAATCGTGCTTCCTATGCCGAAGGCTCTATAACTAGTATACAATTCATACCTAAAAGCACGGCAACACTTGTGGCTGGATTAAGTGGAATCGCCACTATTTATAGCATTGACGGGGTGAAGAATGAAAAGTTGCATAGCATGCGTTTTGAAAGATTCCCCATCATGTGTGCGCGTTTAAAGCCCTGCGGGACAAAGGTTTGTTTACATACATATATGTTAGAATATTTTTAAACTAAGTACATGTATATTATGTTGTATTATTGTATGTACTGCAGGCAGTATTTGGCTCCACAAAGCGAAAGTACTATGTTTATGATCTAATGAAAGCACAGGAAATGCATTATACAATGCCGAAGGATATTACTACGGTGCGCAACTTCAGAATATCTCCATGTGGACGCTACATGGCCGTTGCTGGTCGTTTCGGGACCCTGCATTTGTTCGATGCCAACTCTCAGGAGCTAATACACTCATTTAAACAAGAGGAAGATGTGGCAGCCATTTGTTTTACCAGCGACTCAAAAACTATCGTATCCAGCTCACTATCTTCCAAGATACACATTTTTTCTTTAACAAAGCAACGTCTAGTTCACAGTTTCAGTGATGATGGTTGTTTGAATGGTAGTGCAATGGACTTATCTTTAGACCAACGTCTTCTCGCCACTGGCAGTATGGAGGGTGTTGTTAACGTTTACGACTTCCAAAAAATTCAATTATCTCTGACGCCGCAGCCAGAAAAGACGTTCATGAATTTGCGAACTAGCATTTCAGATGTAAAATTCAATCCCAACGCTGAAATTTTGGCCATGAGCTCAGCGGAAGTAGCTTCCGCTGTGAAATTGGCACATTTCCCAAGTGCAACAGTTTTTTCCAACTTCCCAGCAGTTAACAGCGATATTGGGAAAATCCGTATTGTAGAATTCTCGCCCAACAGCGGATATTTAGCCTTGGGCAGCATTCGCCAGCCAGTGAATCTGCTACGTCTTAAACATTATAAATATTACTAAAATATTTTTTATTTTTATTTCCGGGGAAGTTAAATAAAATTCGTATAAGCACGTTTTATAGAAAACTGTATTTTAACAAGCATGTACATACATTGAAATATAAACTGAAAATTCCCATCACATGAAATAATTTAATTATAGTAAGCTGATCGGAAAGAGCGCTCTGATTCGCGTTTGAATGATTCATGCATCTTTGTAATATCATCGAGTTTATTAGAAATATTGGTAGTGGATGATTCGATCCACTGTAGTGAGCTCATGTGGGCATTTAAAATTTTGCCAATTTGTATGATAGGATCTGCACTGTCTTGCCCCTTATTCGCCTCATTTAAGTTATCGATGATTTCTTTAAGATCCTCCGACATTTGCTTTAGTTGTGTGTCCAAATTTTCAACCAAGAGATATGTCTGGCTACGCTCTACATCTACCTGTGGCAATTTTAAGAATTCTTTCTGCAGTGGAACAATGCTTTCTTCCAGCTCTTTGTGCTGAGTAGCTATGAATTCCAACTCCTGTTCCAAAGTTTGTTGATCGGACTTTACCTTTTGCACAGCGTCATTGAGCTCGAGAATTTTATGATTGTTGCTTATAAGTATCTTGTCCCATGCATTTATTTGCGTCGCCTGGTCAGCAAATACTTTTTCTTGCTCCTCCAACTCTAATGTCCATTTGTTAATATGATCTTCCAATTGATTATAGGATAGATGCGAGGCATTTACCGCAGCTGCAGAATCGGTTGTCTTTGTTGCCGTGCTGAGGTTAGCGAAGCCTCCCGTGGCTGGAGCTGTCGAGGTACTAATTGAGCCAAGAGTTGGGGGAGCTGCAGATGTGGTTTTAGCAATTGGTAATGAGAATACAGGCGCAGCCGTCGCAGATGTTGTGGTTGTAGCGGTCGAAGAAGTTGTGGTGACAGCAGGTAGCGCACCGAATCCAAAACCCGTCGAAGCCGTTGTAGTAGCAGCAGCGCTAGTGGGAGCAACCGCTGCTGAGCTTGCGGTCGGTGCACCCAAAGAGAAACTAGTTGATGGAGCTGAAACTACGGTTGGCGCCGCCACGGTCCCTGCGGCCGTAGTGGTGGCACCCAGAAAGCCGCTGCCAAATCCAACAGCAGCGGGCGCAGCCATTGATGTCGTTGTCGCAGTTGGAGCGCCAAAAGCCAATGGTTTTACTGTACCTGCGTCTCCGCCACCGGTGGCACCAAAAGAAAAAGACCCTGGTTTAGAAGGAGCGGTTCCACCCGCAGACGCCAATCCGAACGAGAAAGCAGTGCTCGCCGCTGTGGTTGTTGTTGGTGGTTGGAAACTCATGGAGGATTACACTTGTTACAAATGTTGCGGTATAAAGATTTTTGTTTACAAAGAAAATTTCCAGATTAGTTTATTTCACAAAATTAATCGCCGCCATCAACGATCAAAACGAGGGATTTTTCGGAATATGTCAAATTTGGCGACTGGTACAGGGTGGTGCAAGATATTCCAGCTGTTTTGATTTAACCGTTAAAAGAAAGAGACAACCACTGCTATCATCTGAGAAGCGCTGAAGAGTGGGCATGGTGTATTATTGAGAGCGGGTGTCGCAAGGCTCGAATAGGTACCAGCGTAGCCATATTAAAAGCGAAGAAAAATGCACTTTCCACGAAAGATTTTAAAACAGTTTGGAGCTATAAAACAATGGTTTTTGGGTATTTTATAAATGTATTTCGAACTAGTATAGCTAAAACTTTAATAGGACTACTTTCAGTGCATACAATTTTAAAGATTAAAATTGAATTATTAAGATTTGCATTAATCAAATCATCTGTCCACTCTGGTCGCTGTCAACTGCTGTCATCTTTTTCACTAGCGCTGCGAGGTGTGTATTTGTCGTTTCATCTGCTGCTGTTCGGTTCGTTTCGGTTCGACGAGCAAAGTGAAAATTTTTATATTTTTTAACAAATAAAATATTTGAAAATCTTTCGATAAAACCTTCACAACGCTAAATGAAGGTTATTCCCTGCTAATTTAGATTGCATTTTTTTTGTAAGGAAATTGTAACGCGTCCATTCCGTTGTGTGGTTGACGTGTGAAATTGGATGTGTCTGCATATCTGCCAAGCAGAAAACGCCGTCGTTGGAAGTCGGTGTCGTCGTCGCAGTCGCAATAGCAAAAGCAGCACCAGTGAAATAGAAAAAAAAGCAACAGAAAGTAGAAAAAAGAAGGCAGGAAAGAAATAAAAGCCAATAATTGTTCAACGCAGGAAGAATTTTCACTTTAGGAATAGCATAGGAGTGTTACAAACTAAACAGCAGTGGAGCGGTGCTATTTGGGAGTGTAATTGCAGTGCAATAAAATTTGCTACACCCAATAGATAAAAATTCTTAAAAGTATTAACGGTTCCGCAAGTACCGCTGTAGCCGTTAAAATGTCTGCTGAACGCGAGATTCCGGCGGAGGACAGTATCAAAGTGGTCTGTCGTTTTCGTCCGCTCAATGACAGTGAGGAGAGGGCCGGTTCCAAATTTGTCGTAAAATTCCCCAACAGCACTGAAGAGAATTGCATTTCAATTGCGGTAAGCTATTTGTGCTCAATTTTAATTTTTAATATATAAACTTGATCCTTTGTGCCATATGGAGTATTTATGCGATTTTTATATGCGGAATACCTAAACACACCCCCACTTATTGGGCGATGACGTCATTTTTACCCTATAATATTCCCAACACTCATGATGCATAACAAAGAGCTGGCAGAATCGGAAGGTTGGGTTATTGGGTGTTGCCACCCCACTAGGTGAAATTTCATAACGATGGTGATATTTCATTCCTGGTGGTGTTTCATTCCTTCGATTGGATTGTTATTTCAATGAGTTTTTAAGAAATGAACATGGTAAAGAGCTAGTTGCACTTGTGCATGGGTTTGTTCTTTTAGATTTGACTAATAAAAATTGCTTCTTATGATCGCTTTTATTAAGGTGCCGTTAAACGTGGCAATGCTGTCAAAATGCGAAACCGAAAGTCCCCTTTCCCGTGTAAACGGCCAGAAAGCCCTTTTGCAGATTTGCAAATTTGCAGAAATCACTTTCGGAAATAAAGATTGTGTAATTATTGTATTCTCCTGATATGAACAATATAAAGGGAAATCTTTAGCTATTGGTACAACGATTTAGGAGTGGGGGACGTAGGGGAGGAGGCGTGGCTCAACATCCTCGCACCCCCTAAACGAAAGAGGATGGACGCCGCTTTATGCAAAGTCACCCCTCACCCACACTCACAACTTTCTGCGTAGGCGGCCTTCGGCCGCGCTTAGGGATTATAACCCTCTCTAAGTGGAATTCTCCTTTCTGTTTTGCTAAAGAGGGGCTGAACACCTCTTGCAGAGATATTTCGTGGATATTTTTTTTTTTTGACAGCTCAGCTCGGAAACTTGCAAAAAATACCATATCTCCAACCGACATTATTAATAAATTAGTGCACAGATATAGTAAATTTTATTTTTGTAATATATTACAGTGTAAACAGAAGAACAGGAGAAGCTCGGCCAAACACTAACATATGTGTAAGCGCCATTATTATTATTAAACAGACAAAAAGTATCAGAAAATTTGTTTTTCAGAATTAAAAACTGCTTTCGAAAGTCACTTTACATGCAAGGTGTAACTGCACCTGCAATCTCTTGGAAATTCTCGAGTTTGACAGACTTTTGAAAAGGACTTGCACTTGCCACGTCTAATAGCCACTTGAATGCAAAGTATCTTTCGGAAGCGTTTTTATTTCTGAAAATTTAACTTTCCGATATCTACCAATTATGGCCTGTTTACACGGTGAATGCAGACGAGTCCACTACCATCTATGACTTAATGACTTGGTAAATTTACTAAGCTTGCTAAAATGAGCACAAAACAGTCATTAAATGTTTAATACATTAATACTCAAACAAATACTCTAATCAGTAGAATAATTTAATTACACGTATTTTTCATATTTTATTCGACATTTTTATAATTTTATACAAATTCGCCAAAAAACGCGTCAAACGGCAAAACTCGATTGGTTTAACAGCACTGGCAGCATAAATGAAAATTGCAAGTTGAAATTATTTCTCAGAAGCGATTTGCGTATTTTCAGTTGCAGATCTGCAAAAAGGACTTTCTGGCTGCATTGCCATGTTTAACCGCGCCTTTAGATTTCGTGTTCATACATATGTATACCAAGGTCAACTAATTACTACCGAAATTCAAAGTGATTTTGCTTGCAACTTAACAGAAACTTCATAAATAACAGTTTCCAAGCTCACATAAATTTCAAAAAAATTAATCAAACTTCAAAAAATTGTCATCAAAATTTCAAATCATTAATTAGAACATTTAGGAAATTTTCGGGTATCCAGTTTTGTAGCCCATTCATTTTTAGTCTAATAGAATGCAAGTTTAAAGTCGCTGAAAATTACCGTTGATCGCATGATCAAAATCTATTTTTATATAAAAAGGCAGCAAATATTCTGATTAAAAATTTTGAAATTTGATGACAATTTTTTGAAGTTTGTATAATTTTGTTGAAATTTGTGAAAGCTTTGTAACTTTTCTTTATTTGGAATTACATTTTAAATGATAGTTAACTGCCCAATGTTGGTAAAATACAGTGAAACCCGCTTAAGTGCCTAACCCGCTTAAGTAACCAACATTTTTGGGCAATGTGAATTTTTGAATGTAATCTGAAGAAAATCCCTCTCTTAAGTACCTCCCCGCTTATTTCCCCAACCTGCCTATGTACCTCAATTTTGCGTACCACATTTACCATTTTACCTATAATTTTCACCTTTTAAGTGCTCTTTTAAAATTCCTTAAGACATTTACATATTTTGAATCTCAGTGGCAGCGCTACACATCTTCGGCAAAAAAATTATAAGAAATCAACGGTAATTTTTAGCCACTTGAAACTTTTACATTATCACACTAAAATTGAATTGGCGATAAAACTGTATACTCAAAAAACACATCTGAGAAAAGAAATTTTAAATTTTGATGAATTTTTTTTTTTAAGTTTTCTATAAAATCTTAAGCTTAGGTTTACATGGTATCTGTTGTTGTAAGGGAATGAACTGTATTTTGTTGTTGTAAAATCTTAAATAAATACGTATACTTCATTAAATGTTTATGTTTTATTCAAGGATTTACATATTTATGTAAGTTAACAAAAAGATGTAACTACATCAATAATTATGTTCGCTTAAGTACCCGCATCGAGGTACTTAAGCGGATTCTTTTAAGTACCCAACCCGCTTAAGTACCTCAAAAAGGCTGCCATTTTTCGTGAGGTACTTAAGCGGGTTTTACTGTAACTATCTATTAAGTGCACTGAGAAACTGACAAGAAGAGATAATCTTTTGATTATAATTAAACATCCACTGAGAAATCGGCTGTTAAAGTTGGTTTTTTTTTTAACTTACCAAAAAAAGCTTACGAAAAACATATTTTGGTTTATAAAACGCCTGGTAAAAAGCGTAATATAAGGTATTGATATCAACACCTATCAGATTTTCCTGTTCGCGTACACAAAAATCCAGCAAAGTAGGGGAAACAGAGACCAAATTGAAATTTCATTCTGATGAACAGTGTTGCCAGAGAAACATTTCGTTTGGAGCTAAAACGGTCGAAAAAAGAGCTTAATAATACTAATAGTAGCTAAAATGAAGAGCTAAATATTTTTGTTAAGGTTGAGCATTTACTGACGTAAGGTTGTTTCTACATTTTCGGCAATTTTAATATAAACAACGAATTTTATAAGTTTAAGTGATCGAATTCGTTGCTATGACACTTATAACAGTGAAATAAAAATACTTTACAAACTGTTAAAGTCTGTAATTTCGTATATTCGAATTGAATAATTTTTTCGCAAAATTTTTCTGGAAAGTTTTACTTCCAGCTCTCCTTACAGGAAAAATTAGTAAGGTAAAACAAAATCCGCGCTATCAGAAAAAGGATTTTCTTTTAATTAATTTTTGAATTCTTTAACCTCGATCCAAGAGTTTATGGTGGATACACTGCATCTCGAAATTTTCCATTTTATCAACGCCTAAGTTATGGCTTATATAACTATATATACCAAATACCAAACTAAAACTTTCTGGAGCTAAAAAAAAGTGCTACATAAATTTGAAAAGAGCTAAAAAAGAGCTAGGAGCTAAAACAGGATTTTCGGAGCTAAATAGAAAAATTAAAGAGCTAAATCTAGCTCCAAAAGCACCAAAATGGCAACACTGCTGATGAAAAGCTGCTAGTTTCTGGTGGAAAAATTTTTGCTAGCAGCCTTTTGCCACCAAGAAAACCAGCTGATCAAAGTTATACGTTCCCACGACAGTCGGGTCTACGTAACCGGAACGACCCAGATTTATATCTGGCCAAGGACTGTCACTCCAGCAACACTCCCCAAAAAGTTTTTGGGAAATTTGTATGCTGCTACAACAACAACAACATCAAAGTTATATGTTTTCAATTTATAAAAATGTGGAAATTTATTTTAGATTTATTATTATGATTTTTAAGTTTGAAATAACTTATTAGAACTGCAAATATATCAGAAGAAAGCAAATACTCAGTTACTCATGATTCCTTAGCAAATTGCTTTAGGAAAACTTTTAATATATATTCTTTTCATGTTTTATGCTTTTGTATGTAAACAAAATTTCGACTAAAAACTTGCAAGCTTTTGCTAGTTTTGGGTTCGTATACTTTTGCTAACATTTCTCTCTTTGAGAGAGAACAGAAAAAATTTCATTAGAATTTTGCTGTTGAGAGTTTTCTGCTGGAAGAATACACGAATTCACCTATATCCGTAACAGCACCTTGATTTTAAAGGTATGAATATGTATAAATTCATAATAAATATTAAAAAGAAAAAATTCGTTTCTTGGTTTTGTCGTAAATATTTGCATTTTACTTTAAAGTTAAGTGATTTATATACATACATTCGCTCTCAGCACTTATATAAGGTTCATTTGCATAAAATTAAAACAAACTTAATAATAAAAACGCTTATTTGTCAATGTTATTGTGGCTTGTTAACATTTTATTTTTAATATTTTTATTGAGCTTTGTACCACGATTGTTNTTCTACCGCTTAGACTTTGTTGCTTTTTCAATTTTTCCTAATAAACAATCGTGGTACAAAGCTCAATAAAAATATTAAAAATAAAAACGCTTATTTAACACTTAATATAGTTATTTTAAGTTACTTTTAAAAGCACTTACAGAAATGTTTGTTGGGATACTAACATGAGGTTGGCTACATTAGACATTTACTTACGTGTGTCAAGTTAGCACTACACTTTTCGAAATTGGAAAAGTTAACTACGGCATTAATTGTAGTGTTTTTGTTGTAAATTTGTTGTGGAAAGAAAAAATTTGTAGCTCTCGTTTTTTAAGAAAAAATGGTATGTAGTGCTAACTTGACACCATACACCTAGTCGATAGAATTGAGATAT